TGTTCAGCTCTATCGTCAGACAGACATGTTTAAGGGGATGCCAAAGTGGATGACAAACACAAAAAGTGTCGATAACATCCAGACGATTGTATTAAAATGACTTGCCAAGTAAGCACTAACACGATCACCCTACCTTTTTCATATTTCTTGTACATGCAGGCTGTCCCATTCCAAACAAGTCAGCCGAGTATCTTGAAAACTGAATCTGATAGACGAAAATGTGTTTACGTTAATTATTTGGATGTCAATTCTCAAAATTTGTATCATTTTAAGTTATATATTAAGTAATGCTCCAGTTCATTTTACGATGTAATACGATGTAAACTTTACGGAAAAGAGACAGTATTTTGTCAGTAAATGTTTCAAGTATGATGTTCAAGTATCCCCTTCAGTCGACAGATTTAACAACTTAATAACATTAACCTTAATGATTGCTAATGCATTAGTTATTACATAAATAGTACACTGTTAAATCCGTAGTGTCAAATTATACTCAATTTGAGTTATTTTTAACCATTTTTATAAGTCGCCACTGCTTCTACTAAATATGTCGTTAATTTAACTAATGTAATGGAGTTAAATAATTTAACTTAAGAAATGTATTAAATTTGACTAAAATTTAGTTTATTTTTTATTATGTGCACGTTAATGTAACCTTTGTAAAAAATGACTTAATATTGTTTTAAATAGGTTGATTAGATGTGATTGTTTTTTTAAACACATGTTTTGTGTTAAAATAGTAAATTTTGACACACATGATAGTTAAAAATAACTAAATATTATTTAACTCAAGAAATTGGTTTAAATTTGACCCTCCAATATTTAACAGTGTAGTGAGTTAATGCCAATGTAGGATCATTTTGACTCTTCAAATTGTTTTTTTACTTATAATTTGCCATAACTGCCATTTTCAATAATTTCTTTTATAGGAGAATAATGTAATACCAATTGCAAATATTTCTTTTGTTAAGCCGTTGCAGCCGTAGATCAAAATAATTAAAACTGGCAATTTAGGGTTAAGCTCGCGGCACGTGCTTGCGATTTCAATAGCGCGTCCCGGACGTTCGTTTCGTTCGTGCATTTTGGCACCGCGAACAAGCATAAATTTCCGCAACGGTTTATCGCGTGAGCGGACTTGGGAAACTAAATTAAGTTATGGGGTTATGAGTAATGGTTACTTGCGCTCTCGTTGGTTACGTCTCATTGCTTTCCTTCCACGTCGCGGCGTTACGCTTTAACTATGTACGCGTTCCCCCTCGGGTGGAACGCCTCGCAACTGTTCCAATTTACAAACGTAGAATGTGCAGCGGCCATTTTCATTAGGCACATTCGCCGGTGGTAGGCGACGACGATAGCGAGGGGGGCCAGGGGTCACATAATGTGACATCCTGCCGTCGGTTCATCTGCCGACCGTATTACCATATGCGCCACTTCTCTCGTCTTTTATAAGCGCGACTCTTCCTCTCGCACGCAGCGGTGCTCAATGCTCGAAGAGCTTCATTCGCGATTGGCGATACTTTAAGTTTAACGCCGTATGAACCTCCAAGCCTTCTTCGGGGTGCAATTTACACTCCACGCGCCTGTTGGGGAGTTCATCAGATTTGACGTTTGGCAAAGAATAATTTATGGATTATTCTTTGAGTAACTATTTCAACTTTTTGGTACGATCTGTCTTCTTCGTCGATTCCCCGATCTCGCGACTGCATGAGTGATTAGAGGCGGAGTAGCAAACGGAAGATGGTACTGTTTTTAAAACAGTGTGACTTCTCTTCTTGAATTTTTTAAAAATCCGCTTAAACTCTCGCTTCCCAGATGTGCACGTCTGATATTAAATCCCCAAGTAGTATTTAACACAAAATTGCGTTTGCCAAGCTTTTATTCTCGACGGCCGACCACACATCTCCCCAACCGATGTTCCCGCCATCAATTTTAAGAGTCCTCGACAAATGCTCTCGCCGTCGAGTCGTCGTTATCGTCGCCCGCTTTCCCGCGGCAGCGACGACAGTGGCGGCTTGATTGTAACGGCTTGTTGGCGGACTCGTCTAATCTCTATATTATCCCCCGGGACGTATCGAGACGGCCGAACAGCCGGATGCCGTTAGATATGATTTTTACGAGTGTGCGTCGTGGAACGCGCGCGTAAACAGCTCCGCGGCCTTATGGCCACCACGTGCAGGCGGAAGATACATTTCGTGCGGGGCCCCTAAAACATCCGGGACGCTCGTGCGTGGCGGAACACGCGAGTCCCTCTTGCTGGGTCGAGGGTGTCTCGTGGAAGGCTCGATTCTGATTCCCCATTAAGGTTGCGCGAAGATTGGAAGAGTTGTCGCGTAACGCAATAATTCCGGAATTTTATGGCGCAATTAGTTGCTCGTTATGGGACAGAAGAGCGAGCCCTGATAGCCTCGGCCATGAAAATTTCGGCTTCCCTTGTGCTGTGGGACCTTTCCCACGCTGTAAACTTTTGAGGCAATAAAAATATAAAAGGGTACTGCAAGGAGAGATACCGTAAGAAATAAAATTCAGAGCATAGCTATTGTTCCGTAAAAATATTCCACGGGTTTTGTTAAACAAAAACAAAATGTACGGAAAAAAAGTTGGTTGCATTAATATCAGGTTTTGGTCTTAATAAATAAACTAACGTGTTTTGATTGAAGCAAACAGAATTTCTGGTGTTCTTATGACCCAAATTTGTTTCTAAGAACCAGAGATTTCGTTTCCTTCAAACGCATTGGCTTGTTCGTTACAACCGAATTTATTTTTTCTGTTGAATATTTAGCTCGACGAATGTAACTGCTTCCTGAAATTTATCAGATTTCTTTATAATTCTGTGAGACAGGCTTTCTATAATTAAAGAGTAAAAGTCATCGGCAAAGAACACCTACGGCTGAACGTGACTTTGAGATTCCACCGTCGCGCGAGTAAACGCACGTCGTGTGCACGGCGTGATATTTATGCAGACGAAATACGATTTTGTTTAAACATCAGTGACTTTCTAGTCGCGGCGCATTCTCGGCCATATGTAGCGGAGTCGCTTCTTTTTCCCGCAACCTAAATACCTCCCGACGAATATCTCATGTCAAGTCTGTTTGAGCAGCATGAAGGTTCAACGAACTGTCATTAAAACGAGCGCCCAGTTAGACGTATTGTCGTTCGAGCAGATGTCCTGCAGAAAACGCGCGCTAAGCAAATGGAAAGGGATTAGAGGGATCGACACGTAACACTGTGGCCAGTGATACGTGTCCGATGAACAATACGCGGAGTCAAACTGAAAAAGGTCTCCGACAAAGTTGGGCGCGGACGTCACTCAGAAGATAATGGAACATTCATAGCCGTACAATTCACTACAATATTTTATTCAACGTGTAATTTATCAAAAGTGTCGAGTCAGTCAAAGAGTTCGGTTCAATCTCTCATTCAGTAAAAACGTATTACTTATCGATTCAGCAATAGCCACCTATTGTCTATGATCCTTGGCCAACGTTCTGGAAGTATTTGTACATTTCTACCGTAGGAAGAGAGATCAGGTTTATCGTTGAAGAACAAAATTTTTTGACTCACTCAATAAATGTAACTTTTAAAAGTTGAACAAGAGGGAATTTAATTCTCACAAATGTTCTCAAATCTTTACTCGATATCATTTCATACATTTTCGTTCAATATTTTCCCTTTTTATTAGTTGCAATATTCATAATCAATGAGCAAGATGGCGTCCTTTTTTTCATTCTTTGTTATTTTCGTTCCCCAGAAACGATCGTCGTTGTATTTGATACAAGAGTGTACGCATCTCTCTCTCTCTCTCTCTCTCTCTCTCTCTCTCTCTCTCATACACATATACACACTGATTCTCTCTGGTAGATACACTCATCTAAATCAATAGCGTGATATTGCATTAAGGTCTTTTTTTCCGGGGGGATGACCGTCATCAGATGCCATCTGCCATTTCAATGCTCTCGGTAAATCCAGGATTTTGATGTCACGTCGGACCCCGCGTCTGAATAATGTATGCACACGATGTGTGCACGATGTGCGTAAGAGGAGATGGCGTGTGGGAAAGTGTTGAATAGCGCGGAATGAAATATCGTGTGGCGCATACACGGGTATACGTTAAGTGTCAGAAATAAAATATCGACATTTGCCATAGAAGATACGAAACGCTGATGTTACATGTGGCATACATTTAAATCGCAACTGTTGTAAACTCAAGGCACTGTAAATTCACTGGTATTATCATACTCGGCGAAACATCTGTGATTTATATATAATAAAATAAGTATGTTTTTTCCTGATTCAATGCTCCTCATACAAGAAGAGAGATTTATAGTAAACATTGCTATGGAATCTTGTAACCGAAGAATAGATCAACATTTTGTAATAATTGGCTACCCTTTCCTTCCATATGTGTGTGTGTGTGTGCTATTCATATTTCAGAAATTGAAACGTGCTATTAGAAAATTTGCTATATTTCTAGCGAAATTTTCTATTTCTAACGAATTTACTATGTTACTTAACAAGATAGATCTTATTCACAGTCTATCTCTGCACAAACACTACTGAAAATCTATAGTAAAATTAAAAAGAATTATAACATATAATATATTTTCTCCGTGCATAGAAACACCAATATTTTTTCTTTAAACGGAGACTTGCCCCCTCCACACACACACACACACACACATTGTGATCTCTAAATATCCGTTAAGTAATCTCACATTGTCGGCCTTTGCGCTTTAGCTCTTCTCATCAGCAATCAATACGTTTTACATCTGCACATTCCATGCGCTACGTAATATGATGCTTTATGAGCGTTTCAATTATACATTCACCATTGCATGTTGACATCCCACGACGTCTAGTTGTTCACGTTTAGGTCCAGGTAACTTGCTCTATGACTTGCCCTCGCTGATGACTTGGGCTATTTGCTACGTATCACAAAGTATCATGCTCACCCCCCGCGACGAACGACCCACCGATCAGGGCGGCATTTTTTCTGATTTCAGCACGCGAACAATGTGCGGAAGGCGGCGGCTGACTATGTGGCCCGTCGTCAGGCCCGCAAGATCTCGATGACACGCTCGATAACCTCGGCCCTGGCGCTTCCGATGAGCCAGTTGAGCGATGTGGCCTTCCTGCCGAACGCCAAGGCTGGTACCTTCTTCGCCCGCGACAACGTCTCCAACTTCATCGGCTGGTGCCGCAACAGCCTCGGCATCATCGAGTGCCTGCTCTTCGAAACCGACGACCTGATAATGCGCAAAAACGAGCGGCATGTGATACTGTGCCTGCTGGAGGTGGCCCGTCGCGGCGCTAAGTTCGGTATGCTCGCGCCGATGCTCGTGCAGATGGAGAGGCAGATCGACCGCGAGCTCGCCGCCGAGAACAAGGCGAATGGCGCCAGCAACGAGGACAGTGACGACGAGTATGCCGATGATATGCAGGAAGAGGTGCCCTGCCTCATATACGGCCCGCAGCCGCAGATCGTCACGAACGATCTCAAGAGCCTCGACGAGATGGTGAGTGAAGTTATGATCTTGGCATTTAGGATAGTTGATGCGACGAGGGTTTCTCGTTTACGCTTTCGAACGGCCGGAACGCCGTAAAACCCCACGACTACATTCTACTCGAGCCGTACACATTGCACTGAAGAAAATCGGATAAAACAAACCAAGTTTCAGGATTATGAACATTCTTTTTGTGCATTCAGAAAGGTTGTTCGTCATTTTTGGCGTGAATTTGCGAACTCAGTCGTCTTGTCTAATGAGGAGGAATTATCTCATTGAAAAACGAATTCTCCCGTTGAACAAGCCGGAGGATTCACAAGCTTGTCATAAAATTACGGATAACCTTTCTATCCACGAGTTTAGTGTGTTGTGGGGTCGTTTATGTTTTATGATTTCTCTTTCTGTTCGTGTACAATGTTTCTGAAAATCCGCGGCAGGTTTGGCCTTCGTAGTGACTAAACCCGCGAAGGTTTCAGGATTCAAGATGACGATCGTTTGAGCGAGATTTTTCCTCGCAACTTGTTGGCGACTTGGAGAAGCTTCCCGGCGAGTCGCGCGGTGTCGATTCCGATAACTCGCCGATTAAATCTCCACACGGCTTCGAGTGCATTTCAATCGCGTGTTTCGTCGCATACACCTCCGCCAATGGCGGCCGTAACGCGCCGCAGCTATGAAAATAACTCCGCGCCCTTAGGTGCATCCGGGCGTATTTACGGCGGTTCAGGGCCGCCGGCCGTGAATATCGTACGATCGGAAATAAGGGTGCGGCGTATCGCCGTCGGACGAACGTTGTGATGCTTAAATTTAACGGGGTGCTGGTACTTTGACTCCTTCGTTATGGGACACAAATACCAAACGCGACGCGCATCGGGAACGTCGTTGGCCGACTCTCATCGGATAAACAAGCTCGTCTCTTGGATTACTTCAGATCGCGGACAGTCGCCGGCTTATTTTCCCTTTTACTCCTTTCTCACGGAGCTCTCAATTCGCCTCAATTCGCGCGCGTTATTTATACACAGAGTGTCTAACACAGGATTATCAAAAGCATGTGTGTGTGGTTAAATCAAACTGGAAAAAAATATCTCTACCATTTTTCAAACGAACTCGTACAATTTCGGGATATTAATAAAATAGGATTGGCGAATCATTGCGTACGATATCGTGCAGCGAGCTTTGTCTCTTCGAAAATAACGGCGCGATTGCTTTGATCTTTCTCAACCTCTTATTTCTTCTTTTCTAATCTTCCACAAAATATTACTTTTTTCATCTAGCTCATCTTCCCAAATCCTTTTCTATACTGCCTCATCATCTCCATCTAACTCTTTAAACCATCCTTTTGTACTCTGACCGCATATCCACATAACGTCTTATATTCTATCTTGATCCTTTCCGTAAAACATACATAACTTGTCTATTTTCTCTTTTTCCAATATTTATTCGTACTTTCTAGATTCCTACAAATTCTCCTTCTTTAAATACCTGGGGTTACCTTCTATTTTTATTTCTTTATATCTCTTATTACATTCCAGAAATCCTGCTTTCCTGTCATTGTCTCTGTAAATCTCTCTCTCTCTAGATTATTTCTACCTCTAAGTTCAACTCTCCATTTCTTATATCTTCCAATACCTCAATCTCCCATTCATTCCTATCACAAAAATTTACCCTTCCTTTTCCATAAAAATGTTTCCAATTTCCTTTGTCTTTTTCTCTCCAACACTTCTTCGCTACACTTTCTTCTTTATATTTCATTACCTTCTCCTCATCGTTCTAATATCGGTCAATTATTATAAATTAACTGGTGTAATGGTCATAACGCGCGCGGCGCGTTAAATGTCCCGTCCGTCCGTCATGCGCGCGAGTCGCTGACGGCTCGCCGCTGCTTCTTCGCTTTGCCCGCGACATTAATTGCACCGCCGCTGGCGGAGAATGCGACGCGTCGAGTGACGTCCCCCGTGACGATGGTAATGTAATATTCTCGATATTTCGCGGGCCCTCATATCGTCGGACGTTCCGTATCTTGCTTACGCTTCCGTCGCAGACGGAGGCGCGACGCAACAATGGCCGGGGTCCCCCACGGAGGAACTTCGGGGGAGATTCGATCTTTATTTCAACCGTCCCGATCGTTCGTCTCCCGTTAACAGTGTTGTGTTCGCTTGAGGCTTGATATAGAGTGAGAAACGCTTGAAATACTTAAACACCTTATCGTTCGTATAATCTAATCGGTCGGTTATTATTAAGTTATCTGGTCGGTATACGAATTATCCAATTATAATTTAGGGACATTTCGACGTGCTGATGCCGAAATAGGAATTCCAATCACTAATTGATTAGTACTTTAGTGTTTGGTAATTCTAAATGGATACTTTGATCTTTTCTCACGTCATATGGAAGAGTGGAAGTCGCAAAACAGATATTTGAAAGTAAATTTAATTCGTAGTTGCAAAAGAAAATTCCCCCCTTGTTGTTAGATCAAAGGGAATCTCGACACTTCAGGGAGATCCAAACACTGTGTAATGATAGGTCTTTAGACACATAACTGTTAAATTGATATATAAAAGCACCGCAACGATGAATTATATTATTTAAACACGATTTTCACAGATAAAGGCTAATTCTTGTTTACCTATCGCATATTTCTCGTGAAACGGCATTTTGCACGTTATTATATAAAATTACTTAATTGTATGTAGAATGATTTATAGTGGGTTCAATTTACTGATCTTGTGGAAGAAAATTATATAAATACAGCTCTTTGAAAATAATTCATTCCAGGAGAACTCGGCAAATATTGCCGACCTCCCGCATGTCGAAATATCCCTAAACTGCCTTACCATATAATTGCTTGATCGGCGAATTACTGATAAATTATATGATATATCACCCGGCGAATTATCCAATTGTTGGATTAATTACCTGTTAACGTCATCGCGTGCTACTTGAGCGATTGGAAAGGCGGCGCGGTATAACAATTTAGCCGAGAACCGCTCGTATTGACTAAAAATGGCGGCTTAGTCGACTCGAGTGTGTCTAACGGCGGCGATTACCGGCGGCGATACACGCGACCGGCATACGTGTAAGCGTGGCTAAATCGCGGCATTTCACGAAGCGGAATAATTCCTTCCCCGGGGCTTGCGCAGCGCCGCGACGTTATCGCCGCGGCGCGCGGCTTTGGCGCGTACAGAGATTCCAGGACGCTTTCCCGCGTGTCTCGGTGTACCAAACGCTTGTGGCGAACCTCGGTAGGTTTACGAGCGCCTTATCTTTCGGGAGAAAATTTCGTCGTAATCGCGGTTACGATAAATCTTCCCCCTTTTTATGAGACGTCCGTCGGGTATCGCGTTGTGTTCAGGATCAACGATCCGAAAAGTGCCCGAGACTAAAAGAGAGTTCTTTATTTATATCGCACGTCGATATCTCTCTTAGCCAGAATCTCCTTCTGCATGTTGCAAAGTGAGATCAAAATTTGGCAGAAAGTAAAAAAAATTGAAATCGCAAAGAAAGCATATTGTACACATATATAATATATGATTGTCGCTGTTATTATTGTCTGTTAAAAATTCAAACGGCTTTTATACATACGCTAAATATATTGTCGTTTCACATTGCAGTATTTCGTACAACTTCAAGTTCGCAAAGTCATTTTCATAGAGACGATACCTTCAGGTTCTTCTAATTAAATATTGATATAAATAATTAATAATGATTGCAATAATTAATATAATAATAAATAATAGTTAAATTAAAGAAAAAATACGTATAAATCGATCTCACGTAGTGTCGCACATCACAAAAATTGAGAAATAATTTCTGCCTGTGCGTTGGCGGCAAATGTGAAGCCCGATAAAAAAATATCGGCGTTTTAAGTAACGGTATCGTTATCGGCGAAAAAGTCTATACTTTTAATGAAGATATAGTCTTTTTTTTCTTTGTTTTTTTTTATAAACGAATAGTCATATTGTACAATTGTGTCGGCCTGCCAAACTAAAGAGTCCACACGACAGTATCGGTACGCGCGGTTAGTATCGCAATATCGTTAACACCCCTAATAGATAGCGTTAGCGCGGCAGCACGTTTAAGCGAGTACATAGCGCGCGTTACCGCCGTAAGTCTCGTGGGAGCGTCATTATGGCCGCCGTTAGAGCGTATTGTGCGTCGATTTTCGCGATCGGTTGCCGATATCGCCGGATAAATTTCACTTTGCGCCGCGGGGAGGCCGACGGCAGGCCTCAAGTAGTAATATACCGTGAAAGCGTTGCCCTCCGATTCCAATAAAGTAGAGGCGAGCCGAGCCGAGCCGAGGAGAGGCGATTCGAAGCCGCTGCTTTGTCGGCTCCGTAATTAACGGAAATATTTACCGCGTCGTCGCTGTGCGAAAGTAGCGAAATGTAACCAGGATCGGATCTAAGTTCTCCGTTGATCACGCGAGTACACGAACTTCGTATATCACAGTGAAGTCTCGCCGTGATTTTCACGTGTGCACGCGCTATTTTTACAAATCGTATTCCTCCACTTTCTTGCCGAAAGCAAGAAGCTACAATTGACGAGAATCAGACTGCCACGTTGAAAAGCATTTCCCAAGTTGACGTTTCGGCTCCGTATTAGTTCTACAAATTTTATTCAACTCGAAAGGTTGAAAGAAGAATTTATTTAAGAATTATTTAATATTCGATCATCTTTCAATACCCCATCCGCGTTGAATCTCTATTATTAATTGTAATAAACAATCTATTAATTATGCAACTCAACTGCAGGTAGATTATGTGATAGATTAATGACAAAAATATTAAATAATATACTAATTCGAAAACGCGTAAATTAAGCAACAAAGTCTCTTTTGTTGTCGATAAAAATTTCAATGGGAAGTAGAGATTCAGAAGGGCTGGAAAAGAGATGGTGAGTTAATCATTGATTGCCTGACATCCTGCGTACTTCAGCCTGGGATTAATTATTGGTCGTCATTGTGATTAGGCACTCGAAAGTTCCACGCGAAGATATGAGTCGATCGGAAATAT